ATGGGTCTTCGTTGACCCCTTTCGTTCGATTCGCCTGGTACTTTTCAGCCTGTCTTTCCGCAACGTGATCACTTGGCAAGAGATTAGATAGCTCGAGCTCTTCAGTAAAGTGCTGGCAATCGACATGCGTCCCCTTACATGGTTAAAATTCTATCGGAGCTAGTTACAACTGTGTTGATTTGCTTATTTTTAGGATTTGACTCCCCCAGCCCGTAATGGTAATGAAGCTGTGGGCCTTGCTTGTAGTTACCGACGAAGTGTACCAAAAGAAAGATGCACTTATGGTTATTTTTCCTGCAAAAAACTTAACATTTCTTCAGAAACCAGTTTAGCGATTTTGATTGCCAAGAATTTCCAAATTCCTGAATATACACAAACTTAATACTTAAATTACTTAAACTACAAACTACAAAAATTGCAACAAAAATAAAGACAGACGAACTTTTTATTTAGTAATATAACTGTAAGATTTATTTAATTACTATTTATTATTATTATTTTTTATTTTCATGTTTTGCTACTTGTTTAAGCTTTAATTTTTCGTTTGTAAGTCTGTCTGAATTCTTCTGACTGGTTTATCAAGAATAATTACTTGGAGTTGAATAAATTTTCACTTGTTGTTTTTTTCCAATTTATTATCAATTTTTTTTTAATTACAAAATATTTTTTTGTAAAAATTATTGATCTCTTTTTATATTAAAATACAGATTTTGATTTCATTTCCCAAAATATTGTCACACATGTATATTTTTTTTGCTGGTTATTTCAATATTTTATATATTTTCGAATGCGCATTTCAATTGTTGTTTTTTATAAGTTTGATGTTAAAAATAATATTAATAATATATTTTTTTGTATTTTTAATTAATTCAAGAGTTTTAAATTCAATGTAAATTGGTAAATAATGTACAAACAATTATATTAATTGATTGGGCTACTGTATTTTATTTGATTTGATTTTAAACTCTGATGTTCGAGCATTTATAATTTGTTAAGAGAAATTTCCATGATTGATTTGATTTGATTTAATTATATTTTATAAAATCATTCATAATAAACTTTGAAATCTTGTAATCAAATAAGATTAATTAATTTAAGACTGACAAAGAGTAAACATGTTCTTGATTGATTAATAAATGTGAAGATCATGGTTCAAAAACCGAAACGATCACCGATCTAAAGCACTTGGCCTCTTTATCTTTTAAGATTTTAAAATTCAAAATAATTTGATTCTAGGTCTTTCAGGGAAACATAATTGAAACTAAGGTTTTTAAAATCAGATACACAAATAAGATCTATTGATTTCTAAACATTCATGACATTTAAAATAAATTTATTCCCTTTACTTTTATTTTAATTAAAATAATATCTATGTATTTGAATCTATAATATCAAATAATCATTTCCTGTATGATTCTTAGAAAGTTCACACAAATACATTCCAATGACTAAATATTTTAAATTATTACAGAAGCATGTCACCATTAAGCCATAAACCTTTTATTTAAGCGCTAAAAGTTATTTAACTAAATCACTAAAATCATATCATTTTGAATGATTTACAATAGATGCAATCAAAAAGAAACACACAATTTACTAAAATTATTTATTTTATTTAATAATTAAACAAAATTGAAATGCAAAGAATGTTTTTTAATAAATAAAGAAGACTCAATGTCATTTAAGTACAAGTGCAAGTGTTTTGTAATTGAAACATTTATTGATATTAAATCATTTAATAATTTGTTGTTATAAATAGTTGTTGTTGCTAAATATTATGACACATTTTAATCAAAGAATGTACAATTAAGTCAGATTAAAATTCTTAATTTTTTAAATGTTTTATTACAGTGTGTGGCAAAAGAAATATTTTTAAGTTAATGTTAAAAAATGTCCGTCGCGACGCAGCATAATAATGTCTATGACCATATTTAGTGTCTAGTAAATGATCCTATTAATGACATTCATAAACGATTCATTGGGCGCTATGAACGAAGTCCCCAATGAACTAAATCCCCCAACCGATAATGATTAAATTCATTATGAATGAAGTCCCCAATCGGGAAGTTTTATGGCAATATTAAAAATTAAATAAATCCCCAACAACAGTCTGAATTAATCTCCCGAATTCTAATGAGCTAAAGCTTTTTACATATAAAACATAAATTATAACAATTTTGAAAAGGCATGATTAGCGAAGCCGGTGTTTGAAAGACCACAGATGATAAAGTCTTTGCGCCCGGCCGAAGGCCTTCTGTACATGAAATGTGATAATAAAAGAATATTATTATCTTTAATTATAATATTTTATTAAGAACGTGATTAGTTTTAAACATAATTTTAGGGATTTAGATCATTTTGAACGTTGGGAAATTATTTCATTATGAACGGCGTCATGAAATAACTCCCCAAAACAAAAATGAATGAAAGTTTAATACATTTCAGTTTAATCGCTTAATAAAGATTTCCTAAATAGCCGGCCTACGGCCTGGCGCAAGGACTTTCTTCTCTATGGTATGTCGAACAACGGCTTCGCTTAATAAATATTACCTAAATAGCGCAAGGATTTATCACTATATAATATGTCGATCACCGGCTTCGCCTAGTAAAGATTTCCTAAATAGCCGGTCTGAGACCGAACGCACTTAATACATGGAGAGTGTATTCTTAGCGAAGCTGGTGTCCAATATACCTCAGAGGAGAAACCCCTTGCGGCCGACCGAATTATTTCATAATGAAATAACCCATTTTAAATGTGAAATAATGCCCCAAAAAGCGAATTAAATTCCCAAATTTCGTTGTTTTTGCTTTCTGAACAAATATTTAGGGAGTTATTTCATTTTTGTTTTGGGGAGTTATTTCGTGGGGAGTTATTTCATGACGCCATTATGAACTAACTCCCTAATGTTGAGAATGAAATAAAGCCCCAAAAAAGGAAGTAGGTCCGTAAAAATCGTTGTTGTTTTTCTCCATATGAAAATTTTGAGGACTTAGTTCATTATCGGTTTGGGGATTAAGTTCATTAGGGATTCTCGATCAAACTTCAAATGATAATAAGATCCTAACTTTCCCGCAATGCAGTCTCTAGACCAAGATTTCTGACCCGTGCTAGTTATTTACTAAATGTTAGGTTAGCAGGTCGTCTTGGTGATGTCTTCGCTGGGGACACACTTGGGTCCAGAATATTGATCCCTCTGTGGTACCTGAAATGAAAGAAACGGTCAACGTATTATTACACTTCGACCTAAGTAGTCTGGGTTCCTAAACCGAACCAGTTTGTCGTACGAATATAGGATTCTATCTTCCAGATATCAAACTTCGATAGATCCGTTAGTTAGTTTGAAAGGAGGATGTATATATATCAAATCCCAAGAAATACACCTAGGCCTCTATCGGGCCTGTTGTGTACTCCTTAACAAGTGCCTCAGGTGGGAATCGAACCCACCAACCCCGGTCTACCAGACTAGAACACTAACCACTATCCTACCGGAGGCCACAGTTTGTCGTACGAATATAGGATTCTATCTTGCGGATATCAAACTCCGATAGATCCTAATGCAAGTAATTTAAGAAGTTGCTACCTAGCAGGTTCAGTCTGTGATCTGCTAGGGCGGGACAATGACAGAGGAAGTGGGAGATACACTCTTCTTCCTCTTCATCCTGGTAGCTCCTGCAAAAGTCTTTACTGGGTAAGTTTAGTCTTCCTTCATGGAGCCCAAAGGGACAGTGGCTAGTCACGACTGCAGTTAAGGTCCGTAGATTTACTCTCGGAAGCTGAGAGGAAACATAATCCTCGCCTGTCTACAGGTGGCCTCAGAATTTTGTTAAACAAGAAAGAAGGTATGACTTCTCTATGCGATGTGGCTCTAATAGTATTTTTTAGATCTTACTCATTACTCTAACTGGTGAGAGTTTTTCAATATATGTTGGCTCTAAACTAGAGGACAAAACGGGCCCGGTGTTCGATATTGAAGACCCAAAAACAGAAATATATTACCTAAATAATTACGGCACTAGCTTCCAGTTAGAAGTCCGAGCAATAACGGAATACGTAAATTGGATTAAAACAAATATGGCTCCTATATGGGTTAACATATTTACTTACAGCAAGAAGGCAATTGTGGCGATATCAGGTGATAAGGTTAAATATAAACTGTATTGGATTGTAAGAAAGGTTTAGCTGAATACTCTCACAGTAGTCGGCAATGAAAGAGCAAATTTTGTTGCTTTAAAGGGCAACGACGTAACAAGTGCCGAATTCAATATAAATGGGGAGAATCCCCCAAGGCCTCTTCGAATAATGAAACGGTGGATAGAACCACATTGGACTCTATGGGGTGAACGACAGCAGGACGAGAAGCCTCCTTAAAATGAGTAAGTCTAAAGTTAGCATGATGGTACGTATTTTGAGTGGACACATAAGGTTACCGGCACTACTATACAAAATTAGACATGCGGATTCAGACCAATGTACAGCATGTGTAGAGGATACTGAAACTCTAGAGCACCTTCTGTGTCATTGTTAGGTTTTCGTTGAAATTAGATCCTATCATTTAGAGAGTGATATTATTCCGGGAATTACCGATAGTGGCCTAGTAGTATTTCTTAGAATTTGATGTCCTTAACAGTTTTAACATTAAATTATTTGGATCAGAGAACGATATATGTTCAACATTATCTTTAGTTAGATTGGTCGTCCATATTCAGTACTAGAAAGTACATATATTAGATAATTTAAATGCTATTTCAGCTCGCGTAAAAGTAATCGAATTCGATAACAGATAAACTAGAACGTATTTAAAGGTTTTAGCGAATGAAAGTATCAACTTCAATATAAATCTTTTGAAACGTACTGTATTTATTTGATATTAGTGCATAAATAGTTTCGAATCATTTTAATAAAATTAAAGAAATTATTGACATGTTTTTAATACTTAGAAGTTGTTTTGTTTATTTTCTATTTCAGTTAAAAATAAAATAATAATACGTAAAGACTTGTAATGAAGCGATTGTGAAATTAGTCTTCAAATGAATTTCGAGTTAAAAAGTGTTAGACACAGTTTTTCTGTGAATAATAAACAAAATCCAATTGTAATTATTTTTAATCTGCAAGTAATCCTGTAAAATAATATTACAAAAAATACTTAGAGAGAAAATGTGCCACACTGAAAGAATAAAAATTTTCAAAATATTAATACTGTGGTCCTCGATAATATCTTTCATTAATTGTGTACCCCAGGAGACCACTACAGTAAAGCCAGGACGTTATGTTCCCGAATTGTATGGCGCACATTTGGGCAAATATATACCCGATGATAGTGGCAAATATTTTCACATACATCGTCCCTATGATGGTGGTTATGGTGATCGTGGAATTAAATATGTGCACGATGCCAGTGGCAATTTAGTGCCATTGTCTACGAGACCATTGGGTCCGAAGGACCATTTACGTTTTATGATTGACTTTAATTACGACAATAGCGGTTGGCAAATAATTAATTTTGAATGGTTGCGCGATGGCGATGAAAATTACAAATACAAATTTGTTAATGAAAATCAATTATTTAATGGAAATGGAGATACTGGAGAAGAGGCAAGTGAGCCAAATAATAACGAAAGTGATGTTCATATCGATGGAGAATACAATGAAAATAATGGTTATAATTATTCTTACAATAATGGAGGATCGAATAAGAATGTAAGTGATCATATTGTGTTCTCAATTTCTTAAATAGCTTGCATATTTTTAGGTGCCTTGTATGCATTATATTGTATTATAAATTAATTTAAGTACAAAATGTGTACTTTTTATCTTTTCAGTCCAAAAATCTACAACAAGCCATTCGTGAAGTTATCTTTTACATAGAAAATAATATTTTACCAACTTTATAAGAAGAACATAATGGTAGTATTTAGCCATAAAATACCTATACAATATTTCATTAATTATTTTCGTCATTTCATAAATTTAAGAATTTTGTTAAACTTTAAGCAATGTATAGATATTTGATTTTTATAATTGTTAATTTAACTATACAAATTTATTAAATAAAGTTTATAAAAAAGGACAATTGCTGGTTTTTATTTAAAAAATAAATAAAATAAACTAAACCGATTGTATATGGGGGATTTCATAGCGATGTCTTCCGATCGGCATTTGCACCACTGTTAGACATATTGTATAGTAGTTTAGGCGTAATTTTTCAACAAGAACTTTCTGAGTTATTGTGGGTAAAAGTTTGACATTTTTGAAAAATATATATTTATATTCATCTATGCAACATATTACCTATTGTTTATATCAAAATTTGTTCCAAATAGCTTAGATAGCTTCGACCTTTCGAAAAAATGTTGAACTTTTTTGCAAAATTAAAAATTTTTACACTTTCTTCTCCAAAAAAAGTTTAGAACTGTTTGGGCGCTTAGTGTAGTGCGATTGTTATGTGACATTTTTAACAGTTACATTCTTTTAGTTACTGCAATTCACGACAATGCGCACCTTTCACTGCCGGAAAACATTACAATTGTACAATACCCAATTTTACAATAACTTGTGTACAGCACTCGTGGTACATAAGGCAATATTCATGGGAAAACTCCCCTCTATCTTTCAGGAAATCTACGACATCTTCATCTGTGCTAGGAAATGCGTGAGAAGTCTAAGAGTCTATATAATGTCAGACAGCCAAGCAGCACTCAAGGACTTATTATCGTATGAAGTTAGGTCAGGTGTTTTAATGGACTGCGTGACATCATTAAATCAATGGCGTAGACACAATAAGTTAACATTATGTCATAAATGTTACTCTGGCAGCGAACGGGCGGACTGCCTAGCAAATAGGAGCGTTCATCACCCATTTATCGGCCCCGAACCATTCTTTAGTATCGCACAAAGATACGCCACAGAAAATGTTAAACATGGATCGAATCGGAATTTTCTCGCCACTGGGAAGCTACTTCAGTACTTAGACAGACAAAGCGATTAATTGCGCTATCAAATCCTAAAAGCTTTTACCACTCAATAAAAGTGATCTTAGATATCACTAATTTAACCTAGGAAATGCTATATCGAATCTATGCAGATTTTGTGGCTGTCAGGAAAAAACCTCTGAACACTTACTGAGTAATTGTCCAACATTAAGGTATCGTCGAGCAAGAATCTTGGGTGCTGCTTCACTATTCAACCTCTCACCAATCATACCCGTTCTTTTTATGCGTAAATTGAACCAGTTATGGTGAACCAACGGGCTGCACAAAAGATTCATAGTAGGGTCATAGTGGGTCATAGTGCATAGTGACCTCTCCAATCTGATCTAAGTTAGCTTTTGAAATTCATACTACAGATATTAGCGAATGCACTTTATATAGTTCGACGACCACATCAGACTAATGTCAAAAGATGCATTCTATTAGAAATCCGCGGCAAATCGATTTTCTAAAACCAATAACAAACAAATATACATGCATTTTTAATAGTATAATCTACATGTTTGGGTGCTAAATTTGGAAGAGGGAACACAGCCACCGGCACCATAATATATATAGATATGCGTTAGTATATATTTTCGGATTTGCCATCATAAAAAGCCTCTTTCTGGAAATTAGTTTTTAAACAATAAATTTCTTAAATATATCGGAGGTCGGGTGCAATTCAACTAAATTATTTGTCATACTTTCCAATACCATTAGTGGCGATAGAGGGTATATAAAAGTTTATTATTCCGTATTCATCTTAGACCTAAGATTTCAAATTTTGAAGAGATTTAGCTATGTCTGTCTGCCTGTCTGTGTAATCATCCAAATTCACCGAAAATATTTATAATTGTCCTAAGCAGTTTGGTATTGAAAATCAGCAAAATCGGTTCACGACGTAAAAATAAGAGCAAAAATTTCAGACTACCTCGAAAAAATTAAGTTTTTTTTCCTAATTCTTATGTAGTTTTTTAGTTTTTCTACGAAATTTGTCACATATTATCTTTTTCTGCAGAGATTAAGTATGTTCAAAATCATAGCTACCTAGCAGACCCATTCCGTGATCAGCTAGGGCGGGACAAAGACAGAGGAAGTGAGTTATACTCTCCTCTTCCTCTTCATCTTGGCAGCTCCTGCAGAAGTCATTACTGGGTAAATTAAGTCTTCTTGCATGGAGTCCGAAAGGCAAGTTACCACTGCAGTTAAGTTCCGTAGATTAACCCCCGGAATATAGTAAAGGGCTTGGGATCTCTGTGGGTTGTGAGATGAACACATGATCCTTGTCTGTCTACAGATGTCTTCAGTCGACCATGTGCATTGCGCAAGCTCATATAGTTTTTCACGTATCGAGCGTTTGCAGGTTGAAAGCGATCAGAAAATTCTTGATTTTTATTTTTTTTTATATTTTCGTATACACTTTATTAAAAAATACAAATAATTGAAGAAAACGAAAAGAATTTTAATTTAAAAGAAACACAATTTGTCCAATTCACAATCAATGTCGTATTGTTGTATCTTTGTAAGTCATAAAACATTTTCAAATATTTTTTTTTTCAAACAGAAACAAAACAATATTAACAAAAATTACGACATACTACAATACAATCGTACAACACCGATGGTGAATTGGATAAATATTAAATACTTCACTTTCTTAAAATATTAAACAAATAAATAAAAATTTATTTTCGTTTATTATTGGCATTTGCCTCCAAATAGGCCAATAGTTTAGCCACATAAGGTGGTGCTGTTGGAATATGTTCACCTTGAGGTACAAAACCATTGTCATCGGCCACATAATCTACACGATATAGAAGACCATCATCACCGGTGTATTCATAGAAACCTTTCGAGCGGAGACCATCATCTGTTTGTAGTTTTTCTACTTTACCAGCTTCTTCTGCTAAAATTCCATTTTCAGTTTCGTAGCTAAAAGTTAAGGAAATGAAATGTGTAACAAAATCAAAGCATACCTTAAGGAGTGTTATTTAAATAACTTAACAGTTTTTATAGTACTTAACATAAACGTTTTAAGTTAATTTTGTTTAACATTTTGCCGTTACTTTTATTTAAACTTACAGATAATGATAACCATCCTGCTCCACTTTATCTTCCAAGCGTATTATGGCCCAACCATTACCACCTTCACCAGTGCCTTTGCCCTTGGCTGAGGGTTTAGCTAAAGCAGCTGCATTTAGAGCATTGCCTAAACTTGATTTTCCTGCATTAGAGCCACCTGATCCTGATTTAGCTCCATTCGAATTGCCAGCACCTAAGTTTCCTGCTCCCTGACCTTGAAGAGAATTAGCATTATTTCCAGCACCTCCTCCTGCCCCACCACCTGGGCCACCACGATTTTTATCAGGTTGATATTTAGAGCTATCGCCACTATATTGTCCTCCATCACGGGCATCATGTACATATTTAACATCTACGTGCACGTATTTGCCATCATTACCACCACGATAACGGCCGTCATTACTGGGTCGATATTTGCCATCGCCGGCTGGACGATAACGACCTTCATTAACATTTCTCGGTTTTGTAGGTGGTGGTTTGTAGCGACCATCATTTTGTGCATTTGCCAATAATACTACTCCCAGGAGTAAAATGGTAAAAATCTATAAAATTTAAATTTATTTCTTAAAACTCCATCGTATCCATTGAACAATTATTTTCGTAATACGCACCGTTATGTGCAATGATTGTAACATTGCGTTAGGAAAGCGAATCGTTGCTAATTAAAAGCCTGCAGAAGAATATAAAAAATGAAACATTTGTAATGATGTTGTTGCTATTTATACAACGGCCCACTTAGATGAATGCAAACACCTGAAATTGATGATCAGTTTCTAATTACTGTAGATAGTTATATCTATAATTAACCACCCGCTCATATGTCGGGTTTTTCATGACATCTCCATAAACCCTGCAATTCGTTGTGGCTGTCCCAAAATATTGTTTTTGAGTATAATTTGGATTAAATCTAGTTAAGGATTTAAATATGTAATGTCCTAGCAGAATGCTCTCAGATTAAAAATGGATACTTGAGCAAACAAATTTCAAGTGTCTATTCTTTAGATTACTTAGGGACGCTAAAGTGAAATCTTTTCACATGATCCAAAAACATAAAAATTCGAGTGACTCTTTATTTAACTACTGGGTTGGTTAGTGGTAGTTGTGGGATTTTTTATTTGTTTTCTGATTCCACATTGTAATTATTAATTTATTTAATAACTTCTATCAAAGTGATTACTTTAGACAATTCATAAGTTTGTATTAAATTACTTAGATTCACAAGTATTTGTTTAAATTTTAACTCAAGACTTGTCCACATTAAATATAACAGTTTATGATGCGTTTTACAATTGCACGCTATAATAAATTAAAATATATTGATTTTATCCAATATTTTGTAGTACTATACTGTAAATGATCTACATTATGATCATTTTATAAGCACTTCCAAAAATATGGAAGTTACATGGATTTTATCGTTCTATATGTAACACATTTGATTGATTGAAGACTTTCTAAAATTACAAGACGTCTGTTGAAATCCCGACAAAGCCTAAAAGAGGGAAACATGGCTGATGATTATGTTTCGATTTTTTCTACAAATATTTTCTATTCATTTGTTCGTTACAATCCATACATCTGTAAAAGCTCAGTGGATTCTAAAATAGGGGGCCTTGAAGGATAAAATTTTCAATGTTGTTTATGTGAACTGTACACCGAGAATGTACGATTAGAATCCGATTTGAATGTGTTTTTTTGCGCGAGTAAGATACAAATCACTACAATTCCAAAAAACTAAGATAACCATTCCATCGGACAAATTTAGACTAAGTTTTTCGATATAATTAATTAAAATTGCACAATTCTGGAAAGAAGGTTTATACGATTAAGATACAAATCACTATAGTTCCAAAACACTAAGACATCCCATTCCATCGGACAAATCCTTACTGACTTATAAAATTGGACAATTCGGATAACGACGAATCCGCGGTGTAGAAAACGGTGGCGTGTTATAATGTCCAGTGACATAATGTCCATTGACCTTATGACACACTAAATTGAGTCATAATGTCCATGGACGTTATGACAATTTCAAAAGTGTCATAATGTCCAAAAGCAATTTGACAGAAAGTCCATGGATTTCAAAGGGTCCATTTATCAAAAAAGGCTTAAATTAGCGAAGCAGGTATTCGAAATACCCCAGAGTTGAAAACCCCTGCGTCCGTCCGAAGGCCTGCTATCCAGGACACTTTTTAAAAGGAATCCAAAATGCAACATATACCAAATTTAGGAGCAATTCTTTTCGGGATAAATGTGCCCCTTTCCTAAATTCTAAACAAAATCTATACATTTCTGTTTTGAAAGTGTGACAATGTCCATGGACATTATTACATTTTAAAAATGTCATGGACATTATGTCGCTTTATGGTGTGTCATAAGGTCTATGGACATTATGACACGCCACCTCGAAAACAACTTTTTAACTTCCTATTTGTATTTGTAAGCGATGCATGATGTAGGGGTAATATTTATACACAATACCGGAAAACCTATTTATGAACTGTATCGACCGATAAGCCTTACGTTCTTCCTACTTAAAACTTCGAAGGCGCCTTCAATAAAGTGTACACTGATACTTTTATTCAATCTTTAGACCAGTTTTATGTTGACCGGGTGCTTAGTAACTGGATCAACTAATAGGAATAGATGTATAAGATGCAAGATATATGATATAAAAATCAAAGACTATTAATCGAGATTACCGAGAGTAATCTCGATTAATAGTCTTTTAAGGAGCCTAACTTAGACCTGTAATAATTCTAAGAGGAACGGATCCAAATTACTTATGTAGAACGGTTGAAGAAGCTCTGAATACGGCCTTGAGCTTGGATCAACCGAAAGGCATCTATGGCAACCCGGCGAAGACGGAAATTTGTCTTTTCACAAGAAAGAAAAACATTTATAAGTATACCGAACCCTGTTTCCACATATAGGATATAATCAACAAGGCGAATCGGTGCTGGCCGCTATGTAGGAGAAGCGTACATGCCGCTTAGGTATAAGTGGTGCAATTAGTACTACGACAACCAAGGTTTTGGAAACGTTGCTAGATATTTCAGCCGTTGAAACATTGGAAGGCTATATATAATCATCGGACATGTCCGATCGCTTACAGGGCACAGGATATGTCGGTAACTGATCGCAGATAGAATAGAACCGGGACATTAGATCAAATATCCATAGGAATCCGTTGCTACACAGATGACTCTAAATTGAGTGATAAAGTGGAACAGTGTACTATTTTGAAGACTCAAAAACAGAAATATACTACCGTTTACTTAATTACAACACTAGCTTCTAGACAGAAGTCCGAACAATAATGGGACGCTCACAGGTCTTAACATATTTACCTATTAGAGCGATATCATGTGATAAATTTAAATCTAAGACCATATTGGATTATAAGAAATCGTTAAAGGAAAGGGAGCTCAAGGTACTTAATCTGACAAACGCAAAACCATTAGATGCAACTAGGGCTGAATTTCAAATATGGGTGAGAGAGTGCCATAATGAACTGGTGGGTGGAACCACAAAGATCCTATGGGGTAAAGAGAGCAGCATAGGAAGCATCCTCAAAATTACCAAGTCTGAGGTTTGTATCATGGTACGTATTCTGAGTGGACACACAGGATTACGGGCATGTAAACATGTAGAGTATGAAGAGAGTATAGTGGAACTCTGGAGCATTTTCTTTGCCATTGTCAGACTTGAAATTAGATGCGAAAATATTATTACGGATTGGAAAATGTTTAGGAATTACGTCCCGGAAACTTATCTATCTTATCTTAATATCGGACGGTGCCATAATCTAACCACTTTTTCTGAGATGTTTCCTTTTTTGTACAATTGAAGAACGAAAAAGTTCCTTCTTCTAGATTTTCATTTTCACATGTATGTTTAATGTTTTTAGAGGTAACATTCTAGAAAATTCGAAATGTGCCAAAATTATATCTCTTATAGACCTCATCAGATAGCGCATGAGATTTTTGAAAATTCAAAAAAAAAAAAAAGCATTTGAAGAACAAAATGTACTCTTTATAGGCTTTTATATTCTCAGATTCAGGATCATAGGTTTTGAATTAATCCAAACGATGTGAGTTTAATTTAGTAGATTTCGTAGACGTAGGAATTTAAAATAGTCGACTACAGCTAGCTTTCTAATTTTGTAATTATTAATTTTTTTTATTGATTAAAGTATAATCGGCTGTGTAACGGATACGTTCATATTTCACAGATGATTTACCACTAAATCTTGAATTGTGTCAATTAAAAATATTTAAATGCTAAAGTCATTAAAAACTAATATAAATGCACATCTGTGATATAAATTTTCTTTGTCATAAAAAAATATTGCAATTAGCAAGAGGTTTCTATAGTGATTCGGAAATAATTATCTTTAACTTTACAGTAAGTAAGCAATTTGTAAAAATTATACATTTCAGACTAAAAGAAATCTAGTCAAGATCAATCTATAATGAAATCATCGGTATATGTATAGGGTTTAGGTCTTTTAGTTCAGTTTTGATTATTCGCTTATTATAAAGTTGTGATGCTATTAGTTCTTCTGTGGAAACTGGGAAATCACTAGTGTCCGTTTTGAAGTTAGTTGCAATGACATAATAAATCAAGACTTGACGGACTGATCTATTAGTAGTAAAATAATCACTTAATAAATGAAAAATTACTGGCCATTTTATTTGTTATCAATCATAATTAACAATTACTTTGTCAATATTAATCATTAGCACTACCACAAACTGTTGGAGGTTGCTGGGTGGAACCGTGTTGTTAATCATTTTGATAAATGTAAGTAATTAAAATAATGAGAGAATATGTCTGGTCTGTTTTCAAGTAAATAAGCGATACACTCGGCACAATCCGACAGAATTATAGTAGTAAGGGAAATACTTTGCATTTCAGGTGACAATATTGAACAAGTGTAATAAAAGTAATAGTTTTTTACAACATTGATTTCACGTTAAAACTGCTTAAAACAAAAAATTATAATCATTAAATAAATAAAAAAATTATTAGAAAATTGAATAGTACCTAAGGAAAATGCTGTGATAGTTCTTATGTCTCTTAACATTCTTATAGGTAGCGAAGTTGATTTAGCTATGTCTGTCTATCCATATGTATATTGAAATCAGCTTTCAGAAGATATCGGAGAGATTCTCAATCACCAATAATTATATCACATTTCCTTATGAGAAGTTTGCTAATTAAAATCAGCAAAAATGGTTAGAAATCTATCTATATATATAAAAATGAATGTGTGTTTGTTTGTATGTTTGAACGTTATAGACTACTAAACGGCTGAACCGATTTTCTTAAAATTTTCACAGCCCCAATATGAATTAAATAGAAAAATTCGTATATTATTAGAGCTAGAATCTTCAAATTTTACTTGAAGAATTTTGACATTCATCTGAACATTTAGTGTATAACGGGTGAACTTTCAATGGGGAACTTGGCACCTCCCATATGAATTAAATAAAAAATTTCGTTTATCTGGGAAACTAATACAACTTTATTCTTAAAATTTTGCACAAATTACTTTAATATTCATCTGAACATTTTGGAGTAGAAAGTGCGGAGTTTCATCTGGGGAGCTTGAAGCCCCCACATGAATCAAATAGAGAAACTATTAGAGCTAGAATCTTCAAACTTAACATAAAGAACTTTGACATTCATGTGAACATTTAGAGAATAACGGGCGGACTTTCAATTTGTGGCTTGGCACTACATAT